GAAACACCTCAGAATGATTTTTTGCTTCAGATTGTTTATTTTGGTCAGTGTTCAAATTATCTTCACTGGCTGCCTCTCCCCCTCCCCCCGTGATTCATTGCTAACCATTTTTACTGATGGTAAGTTGTCATTTAGTTTTGTTTGCATTTTTTTAGGTGTGTTAAGATAAGTGTCTGAATCAAGAAGACATTCTTTCACCTCTCATTAGATACTTATTTAGTTTGTTTAAGAGGGCAATCTTATTTTCCTTTACTCCAGGTTTTCAAGGGTGGATAACTATTTCGTTCCCCAATGAACTTGTTCCTTACATTATAAGCCATGTGCCAAGGCTGTTTGTGATCCGTTGTCCTGTTTATCCCTCTAACATTATTTCCCAACACCCTGCCCTGACCCATTGCTTGCAGTTCCCCTGAATACCTCTTTTTGCTCATGCTTTTTCTTCCTATTCTTCTTAATCCTTTGATAACCCAGTGAGGTTATTTGTCAGTTCATCCTTCAAGACTAGGCTGTAATTTCAGTTCTTCTAATACCTTCTTTTGCCATCCTTGTTCAGTAGCCCATTACTTGCTTTCAGCCTCTATTTTATAGAATATTGGATTAGAGCAGTGTTATTCAAAAAATCTTTAGTAGTCCCTAAGAAATTTTTGGAAGACTATGTTCCCTGTTATATTTTCAAGTAAACGGATTACTCTTTTATATGTGTCCAGTGGAATCTAAATACTGTAAAGATAATCCATTTTCTAAAATACATGAACATGGTATTATATTACTGGGGCAAACTGGGTGAAGGGTACACAGGATCTCTGTATTATTTCATACAACTGCATGTGAATCTTCAGTTATCTCAAAATAAAAGGTTTAGTTAGAATAAATAAGATTCTGCTACTGATTAAAAAGTACATGAACAAGTTCTTTAACAGAAATTTTATATCATTCTTTTTTCTCCCTTTTCCTCACTTTTACATAATTTCATTTTAAAGTAATATGTTTCTGTGAAGTCTTATCACACTGTCATAATTCTCTGCAGCAAAAGTATGTATATAAATTGAAATTTTAAAATAATTAATTTTCTGTGACCTAAAAGTTTAAGCATTAATTTTTTCTTATTTGAGTTATCTTTGTAATTATTTCTATACAGTTTATCAAAACAATATACATTATAAGTTTTGTTAAATAATTAAACATAAGTAAAATTTTATTGAAATGTGTCTCTTAATAAGATGGATGGAGCTTTTAAAAATACTTTAACAGTTGAATATTAATTTTTATTAGAATGAAACAGCATCAAGGCTGTCTTTTATTTGTTTCATCTCTTCTATACTCTAATCTCAATTACAGGAGGCCAACACCCAGTTTTCACCAAAATTGTCCCTTTATTTGGTATCATGGAGGATTTTACATTTGGGGGCAATCCAACCTAGGGTTAATTTTTCCCAAACCTTTCCTAGTATATTAAAGAGGATACTTTTTAGCAAAAAAGTAACAGGTTTAATTAATATTCATTTGCCAAATCTTAGGAAACTCTTTTGGTTACACTTCCTAGAATAATACCATAGTAAGGAGAGAGATGTATGCCTCTCTTTTACAAGCCAGAAGGAGAATGTTTGCACAGAGGGAATATGGGAAAGGAGAATGGTGACATGAAATATGTACCACAAGAGCCTTTCGGGTAGATTAGTGAAGAGTGCATTTATTTAGAAGTTGAGGAGCTGGGAATGTATTCGTTTAAATTCATCCATACTGCTATCCTTTTAAAGGTCTTTGTGTACCATTAGCCCACAGATTCCTTTGTTTGATTTGTTTGTATCTTTGTAGATAATTGGCTTACTTTCTTTGGGTTTTTATTCATCCAGTAAATATTTATTCATTGTGTATTTATTGGAATACTGTGTTTTATACATAATTTCCAGTTACTTGATAAATACATCAATTGAATTAAAATATTTGTTGAATGTACCTGTTAAGTAGATTTCCAAGCTAGTCTCATAAATGTGTTTTTTTAATTCTACAAGGTAAATGAAATAGTAAGTAAATGGACTTTCTGTGTCTTGCCGTGAAACCTATTTGGATTATTTTTATAGGAAAATGTAATCTGTATAGAAAATGGTACAGATAACATTTTTAGGAATACTCAAGGATCTATTCTTCCTGTGACTGGATGAAAAATAATAGTACTTAAACACCATCCCTCTTTTCCATAGGGGTGTGTTCTTATATTTTGAATGAATTTCAAGGAAAACCAGTATTTTTTCCTTTGGGTATATAAATGTATTTTCTGTCAATTTCAGAAAAACGTGGAGTAATCTAAAGAGAGACTTTCTATTTTGTGCCAGGGATAAAGTGGAACATCTTTTAGGGCAGCATTGTGAATGTAAATCATAGAGAATGAATATGATAATTTTTATTCTTAACATTCAACAAAGAGAGGAAGAAAGATAACTGAGTAAAAAATCGTAAGAGAAAGGAAGATAAGTAAGAAGATATGAAAGGACACATTTATTAAGGCTCTACTATATTTCATAATAGCTGGGTTAATTTGCACATGTTATTTCATTTCAGATAAATAGGGATATAGAGGGAAATATTGACTGTGGAAAGCTATATTGAGCTCTTAACAGAGAAATGTAGAGCAAGAAAATTTGATTTTGTTAGGGGGCAAGAAAAGAGATGTGGAACAATGTTGGGCCAGACATTTCTCCATTTTGGCCACTAGGTGGTGACATTGTATAAAGACAGCTTGGTTGTGGCAGATAAGATAGTCAAAATTTGGTGCGGGGTTGGGTAGCTGTATTTAACAACTAAGCCCAAGAGTATTACTTAAATTTTTTTATATTAGTCACTCATCTTTGTAGCACATTTGTGGTGATTTTATTTAACTTCTCTTTTTAGCATCTAATTTAAATTGTATACCCTATCCTGAAGTATTTTATAAATACCTGTGTGCCTACATATTTAGTGATGATAAACTATATATGATAAACAGGTATTTAGATGAATAAATGTCCCCTGCCCTCAAAAAATTCATATACCAAAACAAAATAATAGATGATGCATCTAAGGAACATTAAAAATATATTAAATATTAAGCAAAATAAAAATTTAGATATGTCTGAACTATGTTTATTCTTTTACTGCTTATGGCATAAGTATACATGCACATTTGGAAGTTGGGTTCAGGAAGAGGGACCACTCAGAAGGTCCTTTCATCTATGAATAACTCTTACGTATTACTGGGTATGGGTAACCCATATCCCAGGGATCCTCCTACTTTCCTTCCTGTGCCCCACCACCAACTCTCCACTATTTTAAAATTCAAAACAATTGACGAGTAGTGTATTTTTGTTATGACTTAAAATGACAGAGTCCTTTCATGGTTGAAGTTGCTGCCTCTAGATTAGAGGGTTCTCTGTTAATGGATTAGAGGGAAATAGGCCCCTATTTTTCCTAAATTGGAACTCTGAATGCACTCTTTCACAGAAACTGTGTTCTTGATAGTAGTTAAATATAGCTAAAGTGTCATTATATGCAGCCCTAATTTTAAAAATTAGACCTCTCTTTTCTGGGGTTTTGACCTTAGACTTCCCTGTTTCTTTACAGAATAAGTGATCTGTAAAAGTATTTTCTCTTCTGCAAAATAGGACATTTTCAAGTGATCACATATTCCTATTAAACTTGATTTCTTGATAAAAACCTACCTCATTTTCTTCAGCTTGAAGTAGGCTGTTTCTCCTCTGTTGTCTTATAGTATTTCTTAAAGATCCATGTTCTTCCTTATGTTGATAGAGTATAGATTTTTTTCATCCCAACTATACTGTTTACGTGTTGAAGGCAAACTTTCTTGCTTAGCCTTTTATCTGTTATCAACAGAATCTTGCCTAGTGCCTTGCCGGGTAATAGGAGCTCAATTAAATCAGATGCTTATGAAAAGCTTCAGATGGTTGATGCCAAAGTAATGTGCTTTAAGAAATTAGCTATGACTAGAAATAACTTTTTATACAGCATAAAGCATTTAAATTGACTTTTAAAGTGAAAGAACTCCTATGACCAAGTATTTTAATTTCTGATGAATGGATACTGTGGCTTTCCAGGTTATAAAGCACACTAGTTTAATTTAGGGAACTCAAAATACATTCGTATGTACCTGTCCATAAAATTCAGTCCACATATAGGACAGATTCATTGCTAATTGTCTAAATTACTGATCCTTTTGGAAGTCACTGATCCTTTAATTAAAGGTATTCCCCCCTTCTCCCTGTCATATACATACAACACCCAGAAAAATACACATGCATTACAAAGATAGTTCTGTATACTGTTTTAGAGCGCTAATAGGCCTCAAGTTAAGAACTTCTCCTTTAGGTTTTGGAATAGATTGCAACTAACTAGTCAAGAGGCAGCATGATATAATAGAAAAATGTACTACATACAAAGTTAATGGATCTGTTCTAGCTCTTATTTTACCTTTGATAAATGTGGTGCTGTTTGACACCGGTCATTTAACCTCTCATCCTTGCCTTTTTCTTCATCTGTAAAGTGAAGTTGCTGGATTAAAGATTAAATGAATTAGCACTGCAATATGCTTAGAATAGTGCTGAGTACATACAATGCTTTCCAGCTTTTGTTCCCAGTCTTTGATTCTACTATCTTACAAAGGATTTCTGAATTTTGTAATGCTCTCTTTTTTTCTAATGAATTATCTATCCTTTAAGAAAATTTCTTTCTTATATATATGTGTGTGTGTGTGTATATATATATATTTAATTTGAGTAACAATTTATTCTGTTACTCTATAAGACAAATAGTAAGCTAACAACTTTAGTCTTTTCAGAGTTTGGATGTAATATATCTATTGCAAATCCATTACTGTTCTTGTAAAATATTTTTATAAAAACTGGTTCTGTTAATGTCTATATCATCAGCAAACAGGTTGTGTTAAAAATGTGTAACTTTTATGTATTACCCAGTAAGACAAACACCAATTTTTTTTTTCTTAACTCTAGGGAAGAAGACAAAAACATATTTGATTACTGCAGGGAAAACAACATTGACCATATAACCAAAGCCATCAAGTTGAAAAATGTGGATGTGAATATGAAAGATGAAGAGGTATGAAAAATATGCCCTGCTAAATATTTCCTTATGCTCTGTTGTTCTCCCCTAATGCCTTTTTGTAAATAGTAAGCCAATGAACTACAACTCAAAGTACAGTATGGTTAAGAGCATATCAGAATATCTAAATGAGATGATGTTATCTAGTGAAGATATTTCTGTGTCTATAGCCAACATATTTTTATCTATGTTTTAGAAGTTACTGGCTGAAACTTGTAGGAGTCAAATAATTTCCATTTGTTTATGATAAAGGGAGAGACTGTTAACATAATAAGTGAAATCTATATGTAGTATCAAAATCTCATTTATAAATTGCTTTATACCTTAGATATATTGTTCTTTGCTCAATAAATATATTTATAGAAAACTCTGTCAGAATTTTGGTAAATCCAATAATTTAAATACTGGCCCCCTATTTAAAGGGATCCTATAGTAAATTATTATATAAAATATATTACTTCTTTATGTGTTTTGTGAATAAATCTTTTCACATATTCAGTTTAAACTGTCCCTGAATTATAGTATTAACAAAGAAGCAAAATTTATTAATTCACCTCTAATTATTTTTCTTATTCTTTAATGATGCTGTGAAAGATTATTGAAATGGCCAAACATACTATGATCATATATAACCTTTAGAGTAGATAAATAATCAACATAGAGCTCCCTATGCTGGTTAGCCCTTAATAATATTATCTTACTTTTAGGCAACATCTTTCCTGTGATATCAATGGCATCTGAAATTGAAAATGTAAGACTATAATATTACAGTAAAAGGGGACAGGTAATGCTGTTTGTTCTCACTAAGCAATAAAACAAACAGAGCCAAGAAAAATGTGGCTAGAGAAAAGCAGAAGCCAAATTGTGAAAAAATAATACCAGATCTCCTGATTCCAGTTAGGCTCTTTTTTTTTTTTTTTTAATTTTTCAGAATCAGAACCCAGGCATACCTCAGAAATATTGCAGGTTCAGTTCCAGACCACTGCAATAAAGCAAGTCACATGAAATTTTTGGTTTCCCAGTGCATATAAATGTTATGTTTACACTATACTATAGTCTATGAGGTGTATAGTAGCATTATGTCTAAAACCAATGTAAATACTTTAATTAAAAATACTTTATTACAAAACAAATTCTAAAGATCATCTGAGCCTTCAGCAAGTAGTAATCTTTTTGCTGGCGGAAGGTCTTGCCTCTATGTTGATAGCTGCTGACTGACCAGGGTGGTGGTTGCTGAAGGCTGGGATGGCTGTGACAATGTCTTAAAATAAGACAGCAGTGAAGTTTGCCACAATTGACTCTTCCTCTCACGCACAACTTCTCTGTATATGTGATGCCATTTGATGGCATTTTACATACAATAGAACTTCCTTCAAAATTGGAGTCAATCCTCTCAAACCTTGCTGCTGCTTTTCAACTCAGTTTAGGTAATATTCTAAATCTGTTGTTGTAGTTTCAACAATATTCACGGCATTTTCACAGGAGTAGATTCCCTCTCACGAGACCACTTTCTTTTTCGTTTTTAAGAAGTAACTCCTTATCTTTTAAAGTTTTGTCATGAGATTGCAGCAATTTAGTCACATCTTCAGGCTCTACTTCTAGTTCTCTTGCTGTTTCCACCACATCTGCAGTTGTTTTTGCCCACCGAAGTCTTGAATCCCTCAGTCATTTATGAAGGCTGGAATCAACTTCTTCCGAACTCCTTTTAATGTTAATATTTTTACCTCCTCCCATGAATCATGAATGTTCTTAATGGTATCTAGAATGGTGGGTCGTTTCCAGAAAGCTTTCCATTTACCTTGCCCACCTTCATCAGAGAGATTTAGCCTTACAAAGTGTACTTCTTAAATAATAAGACATGAAAGTCTAACATACTCTATCCCTGGACTGCAGAATGTGTGTTGTGTTAGCAGGCATGAACACAGCATTCATCTCCTTGTATATTTCCGTTAGAGTTCTTGGGTTAGTATTGTCAGTGAGCAGTAATATTTTGAAAACAATCCTTCTTTGAGCAGTAGGTCCCAACAGTAGGCTTAAAATTTCAATAAACCAAGCTTTAAACAGATCTGCTGTCATCCAGGCTTGCTTGCTTCCATTTATAGAACATAGGCAGAGTAGATTTAGTGTAATTCTTAAGGGCCCTAGGATTTTCAGAATGGTAAGCAAACATTGGTTTCAACGTAAAGTCATTAGCTGCATTAGCCCCTAATAAGAGAGTCAGCCTGTCTTTTGAAGCTTTAGAAGCCAAGCACCGACTTCTCCATAGCTCTGAAATTTCTAGATGGCATCTTTTTCAAATAGAAGACTGTTTCATCTACATTGGAATCTGTTCTTTAGGGTAGCCATCTTCTTCAGTGATCTTAGCTAGGTCTTCTGGATAACTTGCTTCAGCTTCTACATCAGCACTTGCTGCTTTACCTTGTACTTTTTATGATATGGAGATAGCTTCTTTCCTTACACTTCATGAACCACAACCTCTGTTACCTTTAGACTTTTCTTCTGCAGCTTCCTTACCTCTCTTGGCCTTTATAGAATTGAAGAGAGTTAGGACCTTGCTCTAGATTAGGCTTTGGCTTAAGGGAATGTTGTGGCTGGATCTCTCAAACTTTCTCTTATCAGTAATAAGGCTGTTTTGCTTTCTTATCATTCATGTGTTCACTGGCATAGCACTTTTAATTTCCTTCAAGAACTTTTCCTTTGCATTCACAAGTTGGCTATTTGGCACAAAAAGCCTACTTTCAGCCTATTTCAGTTTTCAACATGTCTTCCTCACTAAGCTTAATCATTTCTAGCTTTTGATTGAAAGTGAAAGATGTGGGACTCTTCTTTCTCTTGAAACTAAGTTTCACTTGAAACTTAGAAGCCATTGTAGGGTTATTAATTGGCCTAATTTTTTTATATTATTGTCTCTCAAGGAATATGGAGTCCTGAAAGGGATGGGGGAATTGCCAGTTGGTGGAGCAGTCAGAACACATAAAACATTTGTTGATCAAGTTTGCTGTCTTCATGGGTGTGGTTTGCAGCACCCCAAAACAGTTACAGTAATAACATCAAAGATCACTGATCACAGATAGAATAATAATAAAAGAGTTTGAAATATTGAGAGAATTACCCCAATGTGCTGCAGAGACATGAAGCGAGCACATCCTGTATGAAAAATGGCACTGATAGACTTGCTTGATGCAGTTTTGCCACAGGCCTTCAATTGTGAAAACTGCAGTGTCTGTGAAATGCAGTAAAGCAGAGTGCAATAAAATGAAGTATGCCTGTACATGCTTCTTTTAGTAGATAAGACATGATTGCTTCCCTTTATTGTTGTTTTTTATTTTTGTGCTTATAAATTAAGATTTTTATAAAATTCATACATGTGGATAGTTTTTAAACAATCATACTATTAGTCTCATTACCAAAAACAAAAACAAAAAAACAACCCAGCAACTCTCTTACCTGCATCCTTCTCACATTTTGTGCTAGCTCCCTTGAGTCAAACTCTTGCAATTTTTTTAGTTGTTTCTTTTGCAACTTACCTACATATAATTCTAAATAATATATTTCTATCTCTTGTTTTTCAACTTCAGACATTATTGATTTCCTTCTATGTTGTATTAGGGTTGAACTGATTCACTTGTCATCACCCTGCTGTTCCTCCTAATATAGTTATATTGCAACTTTTAATTTCAGCTTTATGATTGAATTTCTGTTGAATCAATCTCTACATTATTATGACTATATAAATATTGTTCATTGCTTAGTTATGGATTATACTATGTGTATCAGTCAGCTTTTGCTGTAGCACAAACAATCCCTAAATTTCAGTGGCTTGTGGCTACAAACATTTATTTCTTACTTATATCACCATCTCATTAGAGTAACACCATCTCATATATATATTCTGATATGCCCTTTATTTCTTGCTTTGTGTTTATCTATCTGATATTTTTAAAAGGTTTTGAATCAGTTGAGTTACTCAATAAATTTTAGCTATTGATTATTTTTAACAGTATGAATGAAGAATGATAATATAGTGAAGAAATGGATGAGGAAGCTGGTTACCTTTTCAAGGCCACAGTTTTTTCAATGGAAAGTATCTTTTATGTGCTATATGATCCCTATTAATGTTTCTGTCTTTCAAGTAATACTTTATACAGTGTGCATTATAGTTTACCGAATACTTTCACTTATTACCATATTATCTTTACAACAGTCCTCTAACCATCACCTTAGTAGATGTTATCCTCATTTTATAGACAGGAACTAAAGTTCAAAAGTACAATTACTTGCTCAAATGCTTACAACTTGTAAGTAGAAATCAGGTCTGGGAGAGCATTCTTCCAACCACTGGATTTTAGAAGGATAATTAAAAAAAAAAAAAAGAAAAAGGAGGAGGTGAAGGAGGAAGAGAGCAATATTCAGTTGGCCCTCCTGTGTTATGCTCTGATTTACAACGATTTCTTTTATAAAATAGTTCTAAACATCAAATCTACATGTGACCTCTGCAAAGATCATTGGACAGACAGCAGTGGAATAAGTGCCTAGAACACAAATAGCTTGCACAAAATACGACATTTCTTTGTAAAAATAAAAGGAAAACTTGCAAAATGTATTGCTTCTACTGTTTGGTTACTTTAATGTAGTACTGCTTCCCAGCCCTTCCAGTTTGTTACCCATGCAGCTACCTTTACCCCCAGCCTGCCAGAACATTGTATTTCCATGAACAGATGAAGTGCTTACACATTCATAGACTGAGACGCCAAGAATTCAGTTGGGTTCTCTCATTGCTCCAAGCAGATTTCTGCCCTCTCAGCCATAACGTCTCAGGCTGGGCTTTGAATACTGATGGCAAGCCCTTTTATTATTAATCAGGGATTTGTATGAATTAATTTAAGAACATAAGGGAGATGGGAGCTTAAAATCCAAATCAAACTTAACATCCTAAGTAAAATAAATAGTAGGCTTCATGACTTTTAAAGCTCTAGCAAATAAAACAACTTACTAAG